TCCCTACATCTCGCCCCGGCCCAGCAGCAGCACCCCTGCGCCCAGCGACGCCGGGACCCCCGCCGCCGCGCCCAGCCGGCCCCCCCAGACCATCGCCACCACCCTCATCCAGCCCGGGTGCGACTCCTCTCCGTCTGTCTCCCAGCCCCTGGAGAGCAAGGACACTGCACCACTGTCTCTTCTCTCGCTCTCCCACCCCCTCTGTATCCCTCTCTCCCTCTCTCCTCGCCCTCTGTATCCCTCCCTCCCTCCTTCTGTGTCTCTCCCTCCCCCTCTGTATCCCTCCATCTCCCCTCTCCCTCTGTATCCCTCCATCTCCCCTCTCCCTCTGTATCCCTCTCTCCATCCTTCTGTATCCCTCCATCTCCCCTCTCCCTCTGTATCCCTCTCTCCATCCTTCTGTATCCCTCCATCTCCCCTCACCCTCTGTATCCCTCTCTCCCTCTCTCCTCGCCCTCTGTATCCCTCCCTCCCTCCTTCTGTGTCTCTCCTCTCCCTCTGTATCCCTCCATCTCCCCTCTCCCTCTGTATCCCTCCCTCCTTCTCTCCTCACCCTCTGTATCCCTCTCTCCCTCCTTCTGTATCCCTCCATCTCCCCTCTCCCTCTGTATCCCTCCCTCTCTCCTGTCCCTCTGTATCCCTCTCTCCCTCCTTCTGTATCCCTCCTTCTCTCCTCACCCTCTGTATCCCTCCCTCCTTCTCTCCTCACCCTCTGTATCCCTCCCTCCTTCTCTCCTCACCCTCTGTATCCCTCCCTCCTTCTCTCCTCACTCTCTGTATCCCTCCCTCCCTCCTTCTGTGTCTCTCCTCTCCCTCTGTATCCCTCCCTCCTTCTCCCCTCTCCCTCTGTATCGCTCCCTCTCTCCTGTCCCTCTGTATCTATCTCAGAGTTTGTCTCTGCACATGGGGGTGTTTGTTACAGGGCTGTGTGTGCAGAGTTTCTATGGGTGTCTGCAATCCTGGCCTGTGACTGGACCCCACACGTCACCAGTGGCTTGGATTCCACTGTGAAATATCTGCAGCCAGATCTGTACGCGGGGGGCGATGTTGTAACGGCGTCCGTCTGCGTCTGTCCCCTGCAGGTACTACGTGCTCCACACCAGCGGCCCCCTCACCCAGACCCTGACGGCTCTGCCCCCCGCCCAGACCCTGGTTCCGCTCCCTGTCATGGTGCCGG